ATCACAACTACTGGTTCAATATACAGATTGAACGAATTTAAAACGGATCATACAATTTAATATATGTCTGTTTGAACTGCATTTGAAATAGTGGACCAATATAAAACATGGAGAAAAATAAATCCATACCTGGGTATACACATTGTATAAAATATCGTTTTTATCGAAGAAGATATAACTCTCAAAAAGATTGCGAATCTTTTTGAGAGTTATATCTTCTTTGTATCTTTAAATAAATCGGATATTTGCCTATATTTTTCATTGTATTTACCAATCTACTACAACAGACTAATAACAAAAATAAACTTAATGGTTTGTAGTTATTTCCTTTCTGTCCTGTAAATATTTTCTGGTTAACACCTTAACAATGAGGTTGGTAACACCGCTCAAAGAAGGGCTTGTCTAATGAAGCGATAAGTGGTTTGACAGCCTTTGACATTGACATTATTTGACAACCTTTTGTTGGCCAACCACCTACAGCAGAATTGAGCCGAAATACATATTTCGTATGTTCCGAATTTATTTCGTTCAATCTGTATAATAAATCAGTGCAAATATTCTGTCCTATGCTCATGATATTAATATTATTGGGAGAACGGAAAATCCTATATGAGAGGCGTATGTAGCATTAAAAGAACCAGCTACAAAAATGGATTTAATAATAAACACCAACAAAATGCACTAAGTATATGAAAACAAGCACGCAACCGCAAATCTTACGACCACTCGTTATAGAAAACGACATCGAAGCAGTGGACGAATTTGTATACCTGGGAGCGCTAGTTAACACTGAAAATGATACTACCGCAGAGATAAACCGCAAAATTTGCACGGCCAACAACTCAATCTCCTCCTTAAATCCACAATTATATCGAGAAATACAAAAACAAAAAGAAAAATCGTACAATTTCTACGTGACGAAATCGAATTCAAATTTTTACCACTGTGCTTTCTAAAACTTGCAAAGCAAACAGCTTGATAAATTACTCGGCAAGCCGCTGCTCTGTATCGAAACAAAAATCTAGTACCGTCATTATGTTTTATTTGAAATTGAGTTCACTACGAATTTTGACCATGATAAACGGCATGTGGAATGCAATCTTACATTCCCTTGCCGAGTTATTTATCAAGCTGTTTGCTTTTCAAGTTTCAGAAAGCACAGTGGTCAAAATTTGAATTCCATTTCGCCAGCTAGAAATTGTTTGATTTCTCTTTTTCCTATCTACATTGTTTCTAATTTCGTTCTTAGTGTTAAATGTGCTTGTTAATTGTGACTCTAAAATAGATTACTGATGATTGAAAGTCAAACCTTGTTCTATAGAGGGTTAAATATGTATCCATTGGTGCAGCCTTCTGAATATTATAGCCTCAATTTTTGTGTGATCAAATGGAACGCTCCATTTTGAGCATGCTTAGATTTCTGTCAATAGCGAAGAGGGCTGTGTAATCAGCAAAGACATGGGTTGTACAAAATAGGCCGCATATGGTAGGTAAGTTGCTTGTACAAACTCTATAAAGGCTTATCTATGTGAAACAAGCTGCATAGCAGTCCAAAATAGTTAAAACATTTGGAATGCAAGTTACAAGGTACCTATATTTTTATTTCTATGATAACAAAGATATCAAGCTGTCAGTTTGAGAAATCCTCTAGATTTAAAAGATTACATACAGTAAATAATGATATCTTAAAACTTTAAAACAAAGAAAAACAAATAGGTTGTCAAGAAAGTGAGTAAATAGGGTTTATTCCTTATTAGCAACAATTTTAGTTTGAATATCTAACATTAAAATTTAATATTCATGATGAATTTCAAGATTAGAAAAACTAAGTATATGTTTAAAAATATTTAAATATATGTATGTAAAAAATATTAGATAAAGTATATCTGGTAATATAAAGCTAATATCTCAGCAATATAGAGCCCATCTTGGCGGCATATTTTATTGCTAATTAATTGCTGTTAATTTGTTTATTGAACAATCTCCAAAAACTACACCATCATCCCCTAGCGCAAAACACATCCCTAGAAAAATCAAAATACCAGTCAAAAACGATGAAACTGGAAAAGTGAACCACTAATTGCTAATTTGTTGTTGAAGTTTTACGCCAAGAAACAATAGGTAATTGCTGTAACCATTTCTGAGAAACAATAGCTATGCTAACTTTAAGCTTAAGCTAGCATAGCGATATCTATGTAAACTGTCAGTCAGTAAACTGACTGTCCCATGTTAGTCGCCCCACCACCATATTATTAAAACCTGAAGTATTCCTGTATCAATGGGGTATGATTGTATAAACTATTTAATTAACATCATGATTATTTTTTGAATAATTAAATGTGCTTAAACAATTGTTGCATAAAATTTAAATTATTAATAATAAAAAGTGTTTTTGTCTATTTATTCAATATAATTCTAAAATTCTAAATGTAATCACAATTACATTTTTCTTATAATAATACCATGTTGGTGCCTATGAGCGAGCAGCTCTGTAGGAATGTATTTTTAGCTTTGTTAGAGAAATTTCAACTCTTAGAGTTGATGTTATGATTGTATAAATCTTGACATGGAATGCTTTTACTTTAAAAATGGTATAGCTTCATACTTAAACTACAACACCCACTGTTTCTCGGAAGCTACAGTGCATATTGTTTCTTGGAAGATGGTGAATTGATAAATGGCAGAACTGTGGCAATAAATTAACAACGAAAGATGTATGTGTGTACTTATCTGAAAAATAGTTTATTGCCATTTTTTGCGAGAGAGTGAGATCGGTAGCATGCTGTGTGAGGGTACTTTAAATTAGCAACAAGTTAGCAATAAAATAAGGACTATATTTCGTAGCTGCCATATTGAACGAATATTGTAGCTTAAGCTACATATTATAATCATTGTTTCTCGGAAACAGTTATAGCAATAAATTGTTTCTTGGCATAAAAATTCAGCAACAAATTAGCAATCAATTCCTTGAGGTTCGCTTTTTGGCTGATATCTCAGTTTTCTGGGGGTGTTTTGAGTTAGGGGATGATGGGGTAGCTTTAGGGGATTGGTTAATATACCAATCAACAGCAATTAATTAGCAATAAAATATGCTGCCACAATGGACCCTTTAGCTTTTTCCTTGCTCAGATCTAGCTTTATAGTAAAGTTAGGTTACTCAATGTTTCTTGAAAACAGCCACAGCAATAATTTTTTTCTTTCCATAACAAATTAGCAATAAATTATAGTGTTGGTCTGAAAATTCAGCCTCATAAAATGGATATGCTAACTTTACAGAAATGGGATTTAAAGGATCTCCCAGTTAATGTAAAAATTGACAATCAGTGATGGTAAATACATAATATATTCAAACTGAGGTGGAAAATTTTAGTTATTTCTTATATAAGTACTTACTAGTAGTCATTCCAATCAGAAGATGAAAAAGTGATACTATAGACACTAAATTATTTTAAACAGTTTATCCAAGGGTGCTGATAAAGGTATTTCTATTTGTATGGAATTATTACCTCAAACAGGTATCAAAACAATATAAACACAATGGGATTATTTACTTAAGTCTTGTATTGTTAGGAATAATTCCATTAAAAATATGATAAAACAAATGGAATATGGTAGTCTTTTCATTTGTTAGATGACTGTGCATTTTTTACTAAATTATTGCATTGTGGAAATTATATATAACAATCCCATTATGTACACATTTCGAGGTAGGTTACATATGCCTACTATTAGCAAAGTCATTCACAGTTTTCTTTCATAATAAACTTTTTTGAAATGGAAAATTCGTAGGAAATCATTACAGAAAAAAAGAACAGGAAAAACATTTACATAATGGATCCAAATATGTTAGGTTGATTTAACAAACTTTAAAGTTTAAATGCCCTGAAAAAGTTGACTCTTACATTATAGATCTTTTACTGTATCAATATATATTAAATTTGTGCCATCGATAATTTAAGTAGTTGCCAGCCTGAGGCTGGAGCAAAAGAAGCATATGAAAACACTTGTTAACTGAAAAACAGAAAATTAACTTGTGTCCATTTTCACTCTAGATTTATATTTAAGTCTTTTGAATGGTATTGGAGGTAAACTGTAATACTGTTTTAAGTCCCCTCAAAGATCTACTGATTCCATATTTTTTTGGAGAGTTCTAGCAACAGCTTTTGGCACAAACTCACAATATAGGTGATAAAGACTGAAATTACACAAAAATGCCTAAAAAGTTATTTCCAACCAACATAGTGTCTATCTTATCTAATAAATAGTGGATAACATGTATAGTACATACAAAATTCATTAAAAATATAAGCATAGAAATTTAGAATGATCCTTGATGATTCTTGTATAGGTAACAATATGAACAAAAATAAAAATGAGAGAACAAACTAAATATCAATTAAATTGCATTCTTTAAGATAAGATAAAACATTTACAGGTACCTATCTAAGGACTACTAAGATATAAGAGAGATATTAGGGGCTCAAGATATTATTCTACATTAATGTTTTTATATAGATTACTATGAAAGAAACCAGGTATACAAATCCATAATATTAAATAAAGGATAAGTAATTTTTATGTTAGGGGTTCTGCTTACTTAATTCACAACTCTTGTAGATGAATCTGCAATAATTGTAAATCCTAAATATCAAATTATGTCAAAAAGAATTATTATATTCAATATTATACATGATTAAGTATTCTTAGAAACGTGAAACTTAATGTTTTAGGAGGAAATGCTCTATTAAGAGATATCTACAGAAAAATAAAATTGATAAACATTGACATGAAGTAGCTAAATTGTCAATAATTAAATTGTTAATGAGAACTTATAATTGGTCAATTAAAGAATAGAAATTAGGTAAAACGCAACTTTAAGTAGTTATAAATAAATAAAAGCGAAAAGTAAGAAATTTTTTACGGGATGAATCAATAAAGCTCACAAATGAGAATATAGAGAAAAGACAGAATATGACAAGAGGAAAATTGTCAATTCTTACCTGTGGGAGATTTGCCGCTATTTGCCTTTGCAAAGAATCCCTTTCTTTTTCAGTATCTTGCAATTTAAGCTCAGTCTCCCCTAATCTTTCTTGTGTTTCCCTCAAACTGTCCATTAACTTATCCCTTTCGTCGAGCATGGACACCATAAGCTGCTCGAAATTTGCATCTTCGCCTGAAAACTGCGAACCTCTTTGACTAATACTGTCTTCCGAGATAGTCGGCATCACATCACACATCATATTCCACATTTTGAATTATTTTATTTTATCACCGATTTACTTCTAACCCTCATTAAGGTGCAACACTTTTTATTAACTAATTTTTACGCGGAGGCACTGGAACCGAGTGTAAACATAAAACCACGACATAGTCTCATTTATTAGGGTATTTGTAATTGTATTTTGGGAACACTAAGACACACCTAGGAATCTCATATTAACGTTTTGAAAAAATACACACACATAAACCCATCCTCAGATTCTCAGATACCCATTTTAAAACCAATTGTCAATTTCCAATTTGTTAAACATGGCTAGGCAAGCCTTGAAATGTCAAACAGGCAACTATTTATCAATCTGTTTTGTTTATGCTTTCCGATAATAGATGTCGCGACGAAAAGATAGAATTTTATTTTTAAGATAGATATTTAAAAAAAAATGTACAATTTACTGGCCGACGTGATTGTGTAACACACTTCAGCCCATTATTTTCACATTATTAATACATATTGAATAACAAGAAACTTATTCATAAGCCACCAATACATTCACTTTTCAGTATAGCCTTTTAATTTGCCAAATAGTAAATTTTATGAAGGCTTGGTAAAAGGAGAGCCTTCAACAGAAATATAATGTAAAATAGATTGTTTGTAACATTAAATGTTTCCTGTTATTTAGTCTTCTAGTTTGTTTCGAATTAAGTAAATATATGAAATTAAAAACGAAATTTTTTTTGCAGTTACAGTACCTACTCGTAGTAGAACGAGAACCTCTACTAATTATCTTTACTAGGTTACACCAAAAAGTCCGCAAGCTTTAATATTCCCTAATGGAGACAATAATACATTCCTAAGGAGATATTTGGACGTGGAAACGTGGACATTTACAAAAGCAAACATGGACAAAATCATAAAAACCCAAAAAGCAATGGAAAGACAAATGTTGCACATAAGACTAATGAATAAAAAAAACAAGTGGATAAGAGAGAAAACAAAAGTGAGGGATGTTAGACAAGAAGTTGCAAAATTGAAATGGAGATTTGCCGGACACAATATAAGACAAAAAGACCGATGGAACAAAATTCTTATAGGTTGGAGACCGTGGAAATATAAACGAAGCAGAGGAAGGCCCCAACTGAGATGGGCAGATGATATCAAGAAGCACGTGAGCTCTAGGTGGATGACTGTAGTGACAGACAGAGAAGAATAGAAAAGGATTGGGGAGGCCTATGTCCAAAGGTGGACTGAAGAAGGCTAATTAGATAAGGAGATCTGAACAATCACAGTTCCAGTTCCACCGAGCTAGATCTGATTGTTTATTGAAAGTTAAATGATTTAGTACGTAATTTGGAGTTGTTAACGCGACAGGTTTCGGTCTTAATGAGTTGCGAAAGTACAGGTAGTTGTAATATGTGAGTGTAGTGATATTTAATGCAGGAATGCGATAAAGAGCTATCGAGTGAAGCTAATATTGTACGTCCAAGGTAGCGCAAAACGGCCGATGGACGTGATGTTATTATTCGTCAAAAGACATCAAGGCGTCCCATGGATGTAAATAAGTCGCACCCAGTGGTGTCATAGCAAAATTAGCAGTGCCGGAATGCACTTTCCCTAATTTTTTTGCAAGTAAAAAATTACTATATGTTTTTTTAATTCAAGTTACGTCTGGTATTTTAAAATGTATGTGCATTTGCTTAATTCAAAAGTATTTAAATCCTAGAATTTTTTATTTTATTTTAATTGTGAGAAAAGAAGGCAACATAGCCTAATTTAAATACGTAACCATTTATTGTAAAATGAAACCACACAACATTAATAAACCAGTTTTATTATTTACATGATAATATAACATAGGAACGAAAGGTGGTGTTTATACCATATAAAGGAAAGTGTTTCACATTCAATCAAAATTACAATATCTGAACATATTAATTTTCTTTAACTTTAAGAAATTGAATTTAAAAAGTTAATCAATTCACAAAAACTGAACAAATAGATTTTCTTTTTCCAGAGAAGGTTTTGCCGTGCGTGTCCTAGTGTCGTCTGCTGTGCGGTGTCTCCTCAACCAGGTGTTCACATTGGGTTCCACATTCCACTCGTTTCTACTTAGTCCATATTGTTTTATAAACATAAGGCTTGAAACATGTCTGGTTAAGAGTCTAGTTTGCAAATCAGTCATTATCTGGTTCATGAGACTAAAACCTCTTTCACGTTCTGACGAACTACATGGAATCAGTTTAGTGTACTTCTACAACTGGATGAGATCTTTTGGTACTTTTGAAGGTGAATTAGCCTCGATATAATCTAGAAAGCAGTTTGTTATTTTGGTTTAGTTAAGTTTAAACATTTTGCAGAGATTTTGAATTTGTTATTCCCCATTTCGTATTGATTTGTCAGCTAGGTACTGATCAGTTTCCAGTACTTTTAAATCAGATAGAAGAGAATCATATTGTTGCTTACAGTTTGACGAGGCGCTTGATGTTGATCTATGACTAGATTTAGTAGTAAACATTCTTCTAGTTTGTTTGTTTATTACACTTGTTATCAGTTGTTTGTGGTTGATGATGTCAATTTTTGGATTGTTTGTAATGGGGACATTGTTGAAATTACGGTCGTTTTCAGCAATGTAAGCCTCAAAGCTCTTAGTTCCAGGATTTAATAACGAAAATTGCCTTGATAGGCCACAGTACATAGATCTTTCAGTAAAACTTTTGTTTTTGCCTGTCTTCGCCTTTTCAGAGTGGTTGTAAATGGCAGAGTAACGAAATGGCCGAAAATGCACGATACGAACTTGCATATTTTATACATGCATATTTGAAAATTATTTGCAGCCCCAACTTCATCAACTGCATCACTTGTGGCTAGCTCTAGTCTATGATTCATGCAATACCAAACAATAATATCTGGGTACATATCAAGTAATCTTTCAGCTATACCTGATTTTTTACCCAACCTGACGCTTCCACCGTCACTTGTAAATGAAACAAATTTTTTTTTCAAGTAATCATAATCAAATCCGCTCCAAACATTCAACAATTACCTGAGATGTTTGACTGCTCAGTTCAATCAAGTTGCTATTTTAATTATAATGTAGATCAATAAAATATCTATTATAAATTATTTAAAAAATAAAAAACTGACATATTTTTTAAACTATTTATTTAATAAAACATAGGAAAGTTGTGTGCCTATCTCCATCCATAACCTAAATGCAACATGATTCAGTTGTGTTCCATTTGTTTACTTTAGATGAACATAGTGCCATTTGTCGACTGAAACAAAAAGAAATAATTATCTTAATTTTTATTGGAAATATTTTCTTTCAACTAACAACTAACCTACTAAATTAAAGCTTGCTTTGGTATGAACGTTCAACAAAGTATATTTTATGAACTGAAACAAACAGTATATTAGTTTACGAAAGTTTGTGTATTTAAAAGTAGACAACAAAGGGGTAAACACAGAGGAGTGCAAATCTACATCAAGAATACTTTCGAGTGGAACCAGGTGGTAATAAACACAGTACAAACGGAAAATTTAGGAAGGTGGTAATGGAAGAATACATGATAACATACACCGAAATCGGTTCAGAGAATACACCAGTCACTGGAACAATGACACCAAGAGTGGACATTTTAAGAATCAAACCGGTTGAAAGAAAGAAATAGATTGAAGAAAGGAGACGGAAATTACGGACATTATAGAATAACATCAAGGGGAAAGGCCAACAACAGAAGTTTAGTAGTATCAGAGAGTTAATAAAAAAAAGAAACAGAACAAGAAGAGCCTAACAAAGAGCTAAGGAAATAAAACATGGCACAGCAAGAACGAAGAGCAGTAGAAAATCAAGGAAACATTTGGAAAATGTTAAAAATACCACAAATCACGGTCAATGAAGAAACACACCTTGAAACACAGGGACAAGTGGATCTAATTGCAAGAAAACTAGTAGAAACACAAAGAATAAGGCAGTCTACATCTTCTAAGAATGAAGAAAACGAAAAGGAAGAAGAGCACTAGGAATGCAATATATCCACAATATGCCACCTAAGTAACTACCAAAGCAATTGTGCAGCTATTCTACATATACAGATATTGCCTGAAGAATGCATATTTACCAAACAACTGGTAACATGTAAAAATTATATCATTACTAAAACCAAGGAAAGATGGAAGAATCCCATAAAGCTACAGGCCTATAAATCTATTAGAACCTCAGGAAAAATATTGAGAAGACTATACAATCATGCAGAAAGAGAAAAAAAGTTATCAAAGAAAAGCTATTAGATTCAGAAAAAGAAGATATTGCGAACTACAATTAGAAAGAGTAATTAGTGAAAAAAAAATAACTTCAACAGGAACAAAAGAACAGAAATGGTCGTATTCGACATAGAAAAAGCCGGTGACACAGTTTGAAAAAAACTCTAGTCTTCAGGAAGGAAAGAGAAAGACTGTCACAATACTTAGTTAACATATGTGACAAATATTGAACTAACAGAGCTTTTCAGGTTTCAGCAGTCAAAAGATGTCTAGGATGTTTACCGTTATTATATAACATATTTGTTTCAGATATGCCTACTGATGCCAGAACACAGCCCTATACGCAGACCACACAGAAATATACCAACACTAACGAAGGTCCGATCAGGCGCAAAATAAATAGGGATAAGAGAAAACAGGATCCAAGGAGAAGATGTCACCAAATACCTATGTGTCTACCGCGACAGAAACCTCAGATTTACAAGAAACACTCAAGAAATAAAAAAAGACCTCATGGGCGAAGCGACTGACCCAACCGTACATCTTTAGGACCAGCCCTTTATCGCAGGCCAAGAAGATCCAGTTATACTAGACCAACGTTACAGCGGTGATTCCAATATGGAATTCCATGGCAGAAACTAACTGGAAGAAGCTCTTAAGATCAGAGACAGCATGCTACAGGCCTACCAAAGGATCTCCATGAATCCTCAGTACACATCACTGAGGAAGGAGGTCGTGAAGAGAACCAGAAATTTCTAGCACCAGGTCACAAAACTCCTAAAGATCAGAGAAAATCTCACCAAAAACCAGGATGCAGCAGTTAATTAGAGAAACATAGACCGATTGAACATCGTACGGAGATAGGTACTGCATCAAAAATAGTATCTACATAAGCAAACGTCCAGTAAACCAGCAGCAGCAAAACCGAAGAGGATGACGTCCAAAACAGTAGTCTTTTACTTACTCTTAGACTTTTATTTTTAAAATGTATATAGTTAGCCACCTTTGACCACTAAAAGGCGAAAGACAGCATATTTGGAGCACATACTTAGAAATTATAAGTATGAGTTGTTGCAGCTGATTATGAAGGGTAAAATCGAAGGAAAAAGGGGTCTTGGTAGACGACAAACATCCTGGCCGAAAAACATTCACGACTGGACCGGGTTAAACACACAGGCGATCTTCAAAAAAGTAGAAGATAGAGACAAATTTGCAATGGTTATAGCCAACCTTCATTAGTGGAGACGGCACTAGAAGAAGAAGAGGACATAGTTAGCCTTTATTTTAATTTTATTTATTATCAGATGATAAGGTTTTTTAAGTCTGATAAACCATTTACCATATACAAACTTCTCAGCCTCAAACTTCAATAAAAGCTTAAAAGGAGAATTCTAATAAACATATTAGGATTAGGACAAGGTAAACACTTTTTTCGACCGGGAGTCATTCTGAGCATTTTTTTAGTATTAGGTATAACACACTAAAGTAGGAACAAAAAAACACATAAAACAAAAGGAAAGATAAGAAGCCTTATCGATTTTAATTAATTAACTTAATTTTGACCTTAACTATAAAATTTAAAATACATTCTAAAAGTTTGATAATACTGTAGGAGCCGAAATACTTGAGATTTTCTTCATATCTGTCTTAACTGTGGTCTATATTTAGTACAGTTAAAAAATATATGATCCAAATCTGCTGCTTAATTGCAGATATTACAAAGATTGATGTTTTCTTGGTTAAATGGGATATGTAGCAAGCATGCCAAACTTAATCCGGCATTTGATTTTTATGGAACTTCTCTGCGTAATTGTCTAAGACACTAACGTTGGTATGTTCTTTTTGCCGACTTCATCATTTAGTATTGATAACCAGAGCCTATTGCGTTACACATTTTTTTTTTTTTTTTCATTACGTAAGATGAGAGTAGGTCTTTGATTTTTCTCTTTTGCATATCGCGTTTCATTCATGACTATTAATGCATTTTTCCATTGTACTCTGTGCTCATAGTCACAGATGTGTTTGCATATCTGTGATTTGTCAAAGTTTCTGGGTTTGGTGTATGTTTCATGCTCGTTTATTCTGACACTTAGTGTTCTTGCGGTTTCTCACACATAAAAATTATTGCATTCACAGGGTAACTTATAGAGACAGTTCTTTGATCTTTCTTGTGTGTTGTTAAGTTTGGTTTTGGACAGAATAGATCTGACTGTATTGGTTTTTTTAATATTGTTCTTTTTGTGAGCGTTTCTAGATTGATTATGGTGTTTTGTAATTTCCTTTCTTCAATTTTGTGAAATTGCTTGTTTATAAATGAGAATGGGTAATCATTCTTTGTTAAATCTTTGTCAGAGGTTTTATCACTAGGTGATCTTGGGTCCATCGATGGTTAATCATGTTTTGTTAAAAAGTTTGTTAACATTGTAACATTTTAAATTACCACTCAAACCACAACATAAACATCAAAAGTAGAGTTATCAAATTATTCTTATTATTGGCTACTACTATTGTTAATAGCCATTCTTTCAGTATGATAAAAGATTTGTAATTGCTGCTAGATCGCTCCACAACTTAAGTTGTTATCTTAAATGAGTTCAATTATTTCTTTAATTGTATTTTCTACTTCATCCCTAGTTATTTCTGGTCCTGTCTCACTGTTTGTGTATTCATTATCTATATTGTCACATAGATCAATTGTTCAATGTAAGTCTTTCTATGTGTCCAAAATAATGTTTCCACTTTCGTTCATTAATATGTTGTGTCTGTTACTTTGAGTTTTCGTCAATTTTTTTATGTGCATTAATGCTGTCATGTTTATTGTGTAGTTGTTCGATGTATTCGCATTTTTCTCCATAGCAGATTTCCTTAGCTGTACATATTTTTGAGCGGATTTCTTTCTGTTTATCCTTGTACTTTTTTGTATTTGTTGTTATGTTTTCTTCTTTCGTCCAATTTCCAAGTTCAATATCTCATTTGTCATCCACTCTTTTATACATTCTTTACTTATAAGGTGTTTTTTACATGGTGCCATTAATGGTGTTTTAACATCTGTTCGATTTTCATTGATGTTATCTGTTCTGTAGTCTTTTGTGGGTTCTATTATTGTCAGTACTTCGTTGATTTCATTTATCATCCGTTCTTTTTCTTCTGTATTTCGTAGTTTATTGAGATCAATCCTTTTTTGGGGATTGTATTGCTAATTCTCTTTAGTTTTATTCTCATTCTTGTAACTAGTGGTAGCGTATTTAACTCATTGTCATTTTCTGTACTCTTTTACACAATACAATGCCTTCTCAACGATTCACTCCTTGAAAAAAATTATGAACAAACTCAAAATTAATTAAATCCTTCAAAAATTAAAAGAAACAAATATTAATTTTATAAAACTACATCTGAATAATCATTCTACTGAATTAAAATAGTGTAAAAGATCTTAAAAAAAAAGTTAAAAAAAGATCTAAAAGATAAAAGGGTATCCCCATTCCAAGGCGATGAGTGAGAATGTGCAATATGTTTATCGAATTTCGTTTTGCCTCTTTTTTATGAGCAGTTCAATGTCTGTTTCTGTCTCTAGCATATTATATGTCTTTAGCTCAGTGAATAATAGCCATATTACCTGAGCATGTTTTGTGCTATTGTTCTCCAATAATTATTTAACCTTTTAACAAGAAAAGGTCCAGTTTCTGATTATGCATATTATATCATGGTCTTTGCCACCCTTTCTTGTTCTACACTCGATGAATCATTTTGTCCATTGATTAAAATATTCTCCATGAACCTCTTGTGGCATCCATCACTTCATCCATCGCCTTCCTTCGCGAAGCATGTATTTCCATATATCTCATGGCTTCATCGATCACGGAACATGGTTCTGTAATGTCGTCTGTTCAAAATGTTCAGAGTTCGAAGGCAGATATTTTTTCATTAATTCTGTCATAGTCCTTGCTGATTTTTAGTGGCAGTGAAAACTTCTTTTTAAATGTGTGTTTTATCATTTTGATAAAACACTGATCAAACCTGACCTCTCAGGTCTAAATGCTCAGTGATTAAACTTGACCTTACTTCTCAATTCCGGTTTTTATCTTTGTTGACATGTCCCATTGAATGTGAACGATCCTTCCCAAATATATGAAGTTTTCTAACATGTTCTATAGGTGTTGATTTAGTAAAAATGTTCCTACATGTGTTCCAAGTGTCATCATTATTGGATACTTTTAAATTATTTAAGAGTGCTTTGCATGCTTTTTGGGATTTAGAACATTATCTGGGGACTTAAGGTTCTAAGACGTCGTTGATAACTGTGAATCTATCCAGTTATTTTCTAAGTCTCATTCGATTTTAAAATTTAATTCATTATATCCAGTTTTTTCTTCATTGTTTGTTGTTCCTATGTTTTTAGGATCCTTATAAATTCATATACAGATTGAACGAATTTAAAACGGATCATACAATTTAATATATGTCTGTTTGAACTGCATTTGAAATAGTGGACCAATATAAAACTTCGACAAAAATAAATCCATACCTGGGTTTAGACATTGTATAAAATATCGTTCAACTAACTATCTGTTTCGCAACAATGTTGTTTGCGTAACAATGTTGCCAATCGCCGTGTAATATCCGATTTGCGGATCTTTTTGATAGTTATATCTTCTTCGTATCTTTAAATAAATCGGATATTTGCCTATATTTTTCATTGTATTTACCAATCTACTACAACAGACTAATAACAAAAATAAACTTAATGGTTTGTAGTTATTTTCTTTTTTCTTGTAAATATTTTATGGATAACACCTTATTTGAGAAACATTTAAAGGAATGACGTTGGCAACACCGCTCACAGAAGGGCTTGTCTAAAGAAGAGATAACTGGTTTGACAGCATAATAAAATCGTAGATTTATGTGTAGATTTCAATTTTTATGATTTCAGAATCCAGCAGCCCGATGAAGTATTGGATTTTTATAATATAATTATTTGACAACCTTTTGTTGGCCAACCACCTACAGCAAAATTGAGCCGAAATACATAATATTTCGTATGTTCCGAATTTATTTCGTTCAATCTGTATAACCAAAAAGGCAAATGTAAAATTTGTCACTTACCAATTGGGTCAATAGGTTGTGCTGGGCCATATTCTGGAGTCTTTTCGATAACTTCTTTGGCGTCATTGTAGCTAATATTAAACGAGTTTCCTTCTAGTGTTGTATTTACACTGAAAATTAAACAAATTATTTATTAAATACAAAAAACTTAGTATTATGAAACATTACAAATTAAATTAAAAGATTATTTTATAGCTATAGCTTACCATGAAATTCCTTTAGCGTCTACTTCTTTTGCAACAAGACCTTTCCAGAATTTATGTACCTAATAGAAAAAAGAAATAATTTTTAATTTTGTATCTTAAATCACAGTAGATAGGTAGAAGTTGGAAAACTATCCAAAATAAAAGATGTAATCGAAAACACAAAAAGAAAACAACACTGAAAGTGCCTATAAATGAAATAATCCATAGATACTTATTAGAGCAATATTTATTATACCATAGATAATAAATATTGCAGAAAAAAGAATATGGCAAATAACGTTAAGTCTCTAGTGAGATTCAGATATTTTGTTTGCTCATGTTACAAAATTCCAATGAAAGGTTTGGTAACTATTGATTGCATTTAATAAGCTTTGTAGATTGCATTTGAAGAGTATGTAACATACTCTTCAAATTTTGAAATTTTATCATTACTAACTATAAATTTGTAGTTTTACCTCATCTACAATCTTATGCGCAAATGCAGCTGGTTTAGCTTCTCCGTTAAAAGCAAATTGATTTTCTGGCTTGCCGTCTGGAATCTTGTATATTTTGAACCATTCCACAGAAGCCTTCAAAAGTCCTGGGAAATGTTTTTCTACATCTGGAACATCATTGATTTGATCTGCCAATGGGTCATTTACATCAATGGCAATGAGTTTCCAATCAGTTTCACCTAAAAAATGAATTATAATATGTATAAATTATTGGTTAAAAAATATTTTTGAAACATTGGGACTAACCAGTGACGAAATAAATATAAGAAGGGAACTCAAAAGATGCTTGATAACAAATGTATCAAGCAGTAGAGTATCGCCGCTTTCGGAAAACATTTCAGCTTCCTACTTGTGTTTTTCCTTGCTATTTCAATCTTTTTACTACCACTAATTAACTGTAAATCGATTTCTAACTATTATCGTTAGCTAATTACTGAGAGCGGATCAATAATATACATCCTTTCTCTATGAGTATCAAAAAATTACTGCCTTTTCCACTCCATTCCAAAGCAAAATCTCTCACCAATTGTATAATGTAGAACTTTTTACTGTAGTTATATTGTTTTTAAAATATTGATAATATAAATTTCAAATATTAATAGATTTTATTTTAATTTTTGTCTTAAGAATCAAAATCAAACATGATTAGCTGAATGAAACCATAGGTTTTACAGTCAATATCCCAACTACACACACAAAGTAAAATCTCTAATTACAAAGTGCTTGAGAGGGCATGTCTGCATATATTTAGATGTAGTAAATATGTATCCATACATAATAAGGGTAAGTAAATACAGAATTACTCAAATTTTGTGACAGTGCTGCTGATAAATTTAAATCTACTCTGTGATCGGCCCAACACAAATCAGCCTACTTAAGTTTGCATTGCAACATTGCCAATAGCAAGTTGTAAAGTAGCGATGGCTTTGCTGGAGTGCTTTGAAATTAGCTGTCGCAAAACACTGCTTTGATTCTTACAATATGGTAACTCCTTAAGTACATTCTTTGTACATCATTTATTAAATTAACTACTAAAATAAATGTCCAATATAATAGTAAAAATATATACAAAAAATAAAGTTAATCTGTTTCTAAATTTTATATAAAGCTTATACAAGTAGACAATATGTATAATATTGCAAAATGTTTATAAAAAAAAAAAAGTAATATTTCATTGGTTTTTAAATCACACTTCATTGAACAACTCTAATAAATATGTAATAAGAATAAAAATTTTCTATAACTATTGTAGGCTGGCTAATCTATTTTGTTTACTTGACCTTTACATTACTTCAACTGTGAAAGAATTTAGCTGATAAAATAGTATTTTTACATTATTTAAGTAGACAGCAGATATTACCAAATACATAAGATATTTTTATATAATACATAATTATAATATACAATTTACGCGATATTTACAATTATAAATTTAAAATAATCTAACTTTTGTATATACTGTGTATTAATATACATTATCATATGTACATATGTACACATGTACATATGTACATGTGTACATGAAGCCAGACCAAGCCTCTAAAGGGAATTAACAAATTCACACAATTGCTACCACCATAAATTTCTCATAAGAGCAGAGAAATGTAATATGGCTTTTACTCATGTTAGTTATTCAATTGTGCAAAGAACTTATCAATGATTTCTTCCGACAGATCACTGGGAACCAAAAGTACAGACAGAGAAAATCTGTGCTCACTATTACTGCATTGCAAGACCTGTAAACAGCTAAAATGCTCCAAATAGCAAGTTCAAGGACTAAGAATTAATGTTTGTACCATTCCATGATGGTTTGATGAGTTTTATAGCTAAGCAACATTAGGGTCATGGTCCAAAAGATCCAGACTAGCACTTTCCCAAGAAGAAAGAATTGTTAAATTATAAAAAATATAGTCAAAATAAGGTCCACAGAAGGGATGATAGACAAGCAAACAAAAATGAACAAATTTATGAACAACTTAATGAACAGAAAAACAAAAAATTTATACAAAAAAGAAGGAAGTGATGATGTCAACTTTTTAAAAATAATTATACATTGAAATAAACTATGGGAAGCAGTTATAGTTGCAGTAATATGTATCTTTGTTCTGTATACTCTATATATTTCTCAGAAATGGAAAACAAAAATTTCTGATTTCATAATTTCCCCACATAACTTTCAATGCCAAATCCAAATTGGTCATCAGTCTTTCATATCAAATTTGTATTTCAATCCAGTAGAGATGTGTTTTGGGTGGTAAATCCATTCAAATTAACGATACATCCCTACAAAGACTGACCTGCAGAGCATAACCTAATAAAAACATACCTTTCAGTCTCTACAGCAACTAAAAAAATGTTGAGCCTGGAAAAGATGAGTTAAGCCTAAACACTGGATTAATGAAGGCCTATCATACTGACAGTTTCTTTACATGTGTTCCTTAGGAATAGTGGATTTAGTTTTTTTTATAACTAGCAGATTTTTCTTATTTGTTCATTTTACACCAAAAAAATCAAAGTGTCACTGAATGGTTAGCATGCAGCACAATGTACTGAAGGTAAAAGATTTGGAATTTCTGAATAGTAAAGTCTGCTTTTATAAGCATTAAACAAATCTTTTAGCTTTATTTCCCATATTCTCGAATTTTGCCTATTTTTGCAAATTTTTGATTTACCCAATCAAAAAATTAATTATTAAATTTTTATGCAAATCCAATAAGTGATGAAAATCTATCTTTAAATCTATTCTGTAGTCTTCCAATCAGATTGTGCGAAAAATTTATATATTTATAGTTAAATTATTACAAATTTTTGGTATCTTATTCTCTATAGCAGAGAGATTATCTAGCCTAATTCTTTACTGACTATACCAATATTGATTATCATTGTAAAGCAACAAATTGAATGATTTCATTGGTATATACTGTGTTTTATTTTGTAATCCAAATCCAAAAATAAATAATATACATATCGCACCCTCAGTAATATAAGGGATCAACTCAAAATTTTGGTAAATTGAGATTTTAGATGCTATGGGCACAAAATTAAATTCTCTACCGGTTAGCGCTGACAGAGAGAAATAGGACATTAGTTGCTCGGTAAATATATTTGTGCCTCTCTCTTACTCTCCCCGCCAACCTATTGTTTTTACTGCTACAAGGTAACAATCAGTAACGTGCCTATAGTCGTCAAAGGCGGACCGTTCAAACGTCGTGCGATTCCTGTTTGTGCCCTTCTATGACAAAATTCTGGTGAGTTTGTATGTTAACATTTTTTATTATATAGAACAATTTTTAGTTTAGCCCTTATATTATGTAAAATGTAATTAATAATTGGGTTTAATTCATAATAGCTCGCTATATTGCCAAAAAGTAGAGATGTTATACGGAATCATATCTTATTGGTTCATTATAGTACGTAAATTGTTTTATTGTTGATGGCGAACTTTGTAATTGGCCCTTATTTACATGAAAATTTTAACTATTTTTTTAATTGATCCGATTTGCGGCGAGTTCGTTCCTCAGCCAGGTACGTCTAAAGCCAATATTTCCATGCCATCCTGATCGAGATGCGATGAGTTGCCATCAGTTAGATCAAGAACAGTAGGTAGTTACATAATGTCTCCAATACATTCAGAAGAAAGCGAGGTAGGCCTCAGTGATGACGATCCCACTTACAAACAAGAACATTTTCGTCGACGTCCACGGATCACAGCAACTCTAACTTCGATTGGTACAAACAATGTAACTATGACAAATGATAACATTCAAAGACAATCAAGAAAACGTAAAGCAGATCCAACCAAATGGATACAAAACACGCAAAAAATGAAACGAAACTTGGGTCAAAGCTATGTAGCTATACATTCGAAGAAATTGGTTCCTGCACGTAATATGAAACCACCTTGTGGCCAAAAATGTAGATTAAAATGCAGTGAGCGAATCGATGATTCCAAAAGGTTGAAATTATTTAGTGCATTTTGGGCATTAGGGGATAGACAATTACAAAGAATGTATGTTTTGTCTAATAGCGCATAGATTACACCTAGGTACAAGTATACCAATGCCGAAAAACCACGAAATCCAAACCATGCATTTTATTTTTCCGTAGACAACGAAAGAGTTAGGGTATGCAAAAGCTTTTTTATTAATACTATTGATATTTCTCATAAGATGATTCGAAATGTACATAAAGATAGTAGAAAAACTGGGGGCTTCATAAAGGATGACCAACGCGGCAAACACAATAGTCATAAAAGTGTAAGTGATGAGCTTATAAATGACATCACCAACTTCATCAACTCTATACCCCGCATTGAGTCACATTATCTAAGAGCATCTACCTCTAGAGAGTACATCAGTAGTGGTAAAAGTATTGCAGAGCTCTTTAGAGATTTTGAAGTACTGCAAGAGGAAAGGTCTCCCCGGCTGGACTATATCACACGTTTTATGAAATTTTTAACACAAAATTTAACCTTGGCTTTTATCAACCAAAAAAAGATCAATGCGATCTTTGCCTGCAGTTCCAAAATTCTACTGAACCACTAAAACAGAATCTTAGGGATCAATATCATACGCATTTGGAAAAAAAGAAGTTATGCAGGGAGGAAAAAAAGAATGACAGAAAGAACATTGATGAGTGCAATATTTGTGTATGTTACGATGTACAAGAAATTATGCAAAGTCCTAACGGTGAAACATCACCATTCTATTACAAATCTAAATTAAATAGTTGCAATTTCACTATGACGGAATTATAAAAAATACACGAAAACGATGTGTCAACAATGGACATCTCTAAAGGCTATGAAAATGTCCATTGTTATTTTTGGGACGAGACTCAAGCGAAAAGAGGCGCTACAGAGATAGGGAGCTGTGTTTTCCATTATTTACAGATGGTGTCTGATAAAGTTGGTGACAGGGAAGTAAATATAACATTTTTTCCGATAACTGTTGTGGGCAAAACAAAAATAAATATCTTACATGCTTATACTTATACGTTGTTGCCAATCTAAAAATTTGTCGTCGATAACTCACAAATATCTCATAAAAGGGCACACTCAGAACGAAGCTGATAACGTGCATAGTTTGATACAAAAGCAGATAGCTAGAGATAGGAAAACTGGCCCAATATTCTCTCCTGTTCAATACATCTCAGCAATCAAAAGAGCAAGGAAAATGGGTGCTTCATTTATAGTTCACAGTTTAACTTACAATGTTTTTTACGATCTTCAGAAATTACAAGAAAATTGGGGCTATAATTTTAATACAGATGAACAGAAAAATAATCTTGTATGGAATAGTATTAAAGTACTGAAATTTACCAAAGAAGACCCATTTTCGTTTTATTACAAGTGCTCATATAAGGATGAGTTTAAAAAAGTTAATGTTCGTGATAAGAGGAAGAGAATGCCAAATATTAAAGAAATAACCATGCAGAAAGCTTACCTCCAGGCACTTCCACTTAGTTGTGCTAAAAAGAATGATCTTAAGGATCTTATTAATAAACAATTGATAGATCCATACTATGCGTCTTATTATAACAACATGTCTTAATATTACTAAAGTTTTGAGACTGAATTTTATTTTTGAAGACTTTATTTTTTAGAATGAATTTTTTTGTTATGTGCAGTTTTCGAAGTTTAGAATGGAGGAATGAATGTTTTTTTGTTATGTATAATTTTTTAAGTTTACTGTGGAGATATTGTGATATACAATTAAGTATTAAGTAAACGACAATGTAAAAATTGAGGAGTTCCTACTTGTAAGTTTTATTTGGAATTAAAACTCATAAATGTGACAATATTAAAGCTATCTTATTATGTTTAACTCTTGTTTTGAATTTTTTTTAGATTATATTTTGCACTGATTAATAAAGTATTACTATTATTTTACCTGATATTTTATTTATAAAACAGAAACATTAAATTCAAACATCGGTTGGGATTGGTGATATAGAGTACCATTTACGATTAAAAATTAAACAGTGGCAGGGACACTAATAACATAAGGGATCAAACTTAAATAGTTCCTTATTTCTGTTATGGTTTTTTATACTATACGGGACTAACTCGAAAGTAGTTTTTTCCATTCCTTGTAATTAATAGAATTTATTTATATTATTATTTTTTCCTCATTGCAATTTTTAGTGCAGTTATCAAATAACAGATCTGCCAAATTTCATATTTATAACTTAAATAATAAGCATTTTATGTGAAAAAATAGCTGTAATGTCGGATACCAGAATCTTTAAATGCGATTTCCCACAAATCTACTTTTTTGAATTGTGCCTCTATATTACTGAGGGTGCGATATATTAAAGACTTACCTTCGTCAATTAAAGCAAGAGTTCCTAAAATCTTTACATTCAAGATTTCCCCACGTTTTGCAACTCGATAACCAATTTCTATGACATCAATGGGATCGTTGTCACCTTTGCAACCTGTGCCATCATCAAGATGTTCAGGATTTTCCCAAGTTTGGGGTAGAGCACCATAGTTCCAGATATATCCATGGTGGGGGAAACAATTTGAAACGAACCTAGGTTTGCCTTTCTTGATATCTTGTTTGATTGGGTTAAGAATTTCTTTCATCGTAATCTAGAAAAATAGATTTTTGATTTGAAATTTGATGAAATATCATTACCATATCATGGTCATGATTTAAAAAAAAAAGAACAGAAATGTTTAGTACACTTTTTAAGCCATATATTGAAGAAATTGATGATACAAAATCAGATTTTGAAGTTTATTTTTAGTCTCAAAAGTAGTGATTTTTTGTTTAATTTGTTTGGTAAATGTTTGCCTTTCTGTTTTGAAAATGCATTTCAAATACACCCGCTTAAACTTATAGATGTAAAAAATAATATATGACTAAAAAGGGATATAACCCATTAACATGGGCAATACGCCTATAAAAATAAACATTCTATTGAATTTTAAAATGTTTTGAGCTATTAGTCACATTTTCCCTTATTGAGATAAATAGCTTAGTCAGTAACTGGCTTCGGTTCGCTTTAAATACAACCAAGTGTGATTATACAGCTGCTTTGTATTACATGAGTTTCAAAAAAGGTGTAGTTGAAGAATAAAAAAACATTTTTCATCAAGAAAAAAATTATAATTTAAAAGTTTTATACTGGAAATTAGAAGTCCACGGACTATTCTAAATGTAAGTATTCACCATACCAAATGTCTTTTATATTTAGTAGTATTGAAACAGCCACTATATTTTACCATCCCCAAACGAGGATGTTAGTCACAAATATGCCTATTTGGTATATTTGCTTCTTTTCAGATCACTATGGATCCTACAATGTTTAATGGCTCTAAAACCTTCCAAAAATTGGAACAAGCCTTGGAAGAAGCTAATAATGAGGAAAATGAACAACTGGAGAGTATTGATTTGTGTGTTCTGCCACCAAATTTGGATGAACAGACAGATAATGGAGAACATGATAATAATATTCTAGAAGATCCGAATTATATTCCAAATGAAATTCCTGGAACTATAGAAACCTCTTTTAAGTCTCATGATGAACCAAAAAATGTAAGAACTTCTGATGAAGTTTCGGGTGGACAATCAAAGGAATATGCTAAGTTATAATAACCCAAGTGGGTAAAAACTGATTTTCAATCTATTACTACAACAGTACATATATCATTTGAAGAGGAGAAGAAAAATGTTAAAGAAGATTTGAGAAATTTATGACCAATTCAAATTTTTGAAAAATTACTGAAGAAATTATTACATAAATTTGTGATCAGTCAATTTTATGTGCACAGCAAAAAAATAACCACTCTTTTACAAAATCTCCAAACAAAATGAAAACTTTTTTTGCAATATTATATCTAACTGGAACAGATTATGAGAGAGGTTATACTGGTCATTAGATGAGGACCTAGGAGTTTCTTATGTTTACAATGAGCATAGACAGGTACTTATACTAAAAATATTAAAGAATACCACTTGCAGCTAAAGTAGTAATTAATCTTTTGAAATACCTGCCTGAACCATCTAGAAATGAATTTTTTTCGATAATTATTTCAAGATATATGGGTGATTCTCTGCAAAATGAGTCTCGTAGTACAGATTTTCGGCAAACAAAAAAGTTTAAACAAGATAACAAATTGTTATTTAATTAGATGTGGTTTTTTATTAGAAAGAAGATTTCATCAAAAAACGTTCTAAATTAAGACCGGTTTTTGATTTTTTTACAATTTTCTGAAAAGAGTAGACACGGGAATTTCGCGAAGGGCATGGGAATTACAATAAAACACTAGAGATTATAAAACGAGTGTTATAATGTAAAAAGTATACAAATCAAATGTGTTTCTAACTCAAACATAAATAAAAAAGATAACTTAAATATGTTTCACAATCTTAAAAAACTAAAAAACCTTATTTTTCAAAAACGTCGAGTTCCGTTGGGTATGAATAGTAAATTCGATTGCCTTTACAGACAAGAGTTGGATCCGGAAGAACACGTAAAATATTATTAACATCTACATATGAGATGTCTTCTTCGTCCAAACTAAATAACTTCAATTTACTTTCGCATATTTTGAGGAACATAACTTTAACTTCTCCATCTTCATCCATCTCGCTTTGGCATATAGCTGCATATTTGTATTTTTCATGGGAAACATTTTCTTAGCGTCAATTTTAACTTCGACAAGAATATGGCAATCTGGTTTTATTTTTAAAGACATTACAACTCCATCTTCTTCAGAATCACTGTAAACATCTTACATCTACATCTACCTTAACTTTGAAGTCTTGCTTGTACAAGGAACATCTTTAGAACCAACATCTTCATACTTCAAACATCCAAGTCTATAATGATGGCATGTTTCATCACAGGTGAAACAAGACAAACTGCGAAACCAACATTTTGACGAAAATTTTGATACTACCTGATGTACTTTTAAAAATAGTACCTTTAAAAATAAGGTTATCATTTTGTTCCACTTGTTGCCTTATCTTATTAATTTCTGGTTCCGTAATGACACAGAACTTAATGTTTGAACAATTTTTCTCAAGCATGTCTATGAGTGTTCCTATTGAATCAATCAATACCATCAGGTGGTCCTTTTCCATGTCCAGCTTCGCAATAATTCCATGTCACCATTTTTATTTGACTAAAGTGTCGATTTAAATTTTTAACCAGAAAATTAAACATAAATTTATTGCGATATTGGGTCGCTGGACTATCACTTAAAAAGTGAATCCTAGTGGCATCTCCTAATGAATCCTTTAGCACCGGTAATAAGTGGGCCCAAATACCAGGAACATCATGCTTAAGACATTCTGACATCGTACAGTAAGAGGTAGGTTTAACAATAGAATCTGCAGTTGTTTTGTAGACGACGACTGTATGTAAACTGATTTGTTGCCTTGAGCCTCCGAAATGAAACGATTGTGTCTCTTGAGCATATTTTAAATTATAATTTTCGATAAAGTTGCAGTGTATTAGGATATATTTCTGTGAAAGTCGATTCTTAAGGTCCGAAATTGCCTGGAATTGGTGATATATTCGTGCTTCGTGTGCTAAAAATTCAGTCATTTGGATTCAAATTCATTAATTAAGGATCCCAATGTTATTGGAACAAGAATTTTTTACGGTTTTAATCGTAGATTTATTTGTGTTACTTTTGGGGTCGTAATATCCTTCTTTTTTTGTTGACCATTTATAATATTTGACAGGCTTGTTTTTATCGTGGTCCTCGTATGTTATAACAGTCTCTCGACATTTTTCACACACACGGAATAGACAATTTTCAGTTTTTCTCTCGCAGCATAAACTTTTAATAATGGTAGTCAAATTTTTTGAACATGTTCCTAAGTGGGTGTAATGTTTTTCAAATGTTGTCCAGTCTCCTTCAGAGCTTTTTGTCTTTGTCTGAATGCAGCTAAATTAGTTCTCCATTGTTTCCTCTTCAGTCTTTGTTGTCTTGGAGTCATCTCATTGATCGATTTTTTTATTTTACTTTTTCGTTGCCTCAGATACTTTTCTTTTTCTTTTTGTTGTTGTTCAGCTCTTTTGATTGGATCTTCTCTTATTTTCCTGTGTCTTTTCCTTTCTCTTTACCGTTTTCTTCGCTCTAAAAGCTCTTCTTTGGAAAGTTTAGCCAATAATAAAATAACAAGTGGTCGAAATTCCCGTCTCACTTGTAATTCCCGTGTCACTAAAAAGACATGGGAATTAGTGACCCGGGAATTACAAAATACGTGTTTTACATTAATTATATGCTTTAAAATAAAAAATTGAAAAATATTATATTATAAAACAGATTCTAAATAAGTCTAACATTGAATGATGCATAAAAATTTGCAAAATTTGTTATTTTTACCAAAAATAAACTTACCCCGGGAATTACGCTGTTGAATATTACACACGTGGTTGCAGAGCTTTAAACAATAATACATCTACTCTCGTTGCATGCCAATGCTTAACTAATAGGTTAGGAGTCACAGCAGTGATTCACGAGTTTCCGGTTGTCAGAATCGTTGAAACTAGAGACAATGTATGATTTTTACCAACAATTTTTGTTTGTAACACGGGAATTACTCATTTTGCCAAGGACAAAATATATAATTTTTTTTGTAGTTGAATTTTGACTTTATGTGGCTTTGAGTTTCAAGATTTTAAATATTAAATTATTCTTTTAATCCAATTACAAACAGAGGTTGTTAAAAGTAGAAGGATAAAGAAACTGTGATGAACATATTTTGTGATATGAGTTTCGGGACATGACAGGAGAATTACAAATGAACATTCTTTACGCGAAATTATTACTAAAAATTATTTTAATTGTAAAATTATTCGAATGCCCTAATTTAGTGCATATTATACATTTCAGTAATGATTTTAGTATTATAATTAAATTATTTTTGTTCAATTTCTGATACAAAGACATGGCGAGACTCACTTTTCAGATAATCACCCATATCAACTAATGACATACCTGAAACAAAAAAACAAAGGCCACAGGAACTGCAAGAGAAAATTGTGTGCAAAAATGTCCAGTACTGGAGACTAAGCTTATTAAGAAAATGGCAAGAGGTACATATGATTATAGATTCAACAAAGCTAATGAAATTTTGTGTGTGAAATGGTATGACAATAGTGTTTGTTCTATGTTATCCAATTATGATACCATTGAACTACTAGGTCAAATAAAACGGAGTAGATGCGCATGATCAGTGCATATCATTATATTGAATAAGCATAAAAGGTAAAAAGTGGTCTTGAGTTTTATTTATGTACTTTCTTGACATGATTATGACTAATGCCTGGAAACTTCATCAAATTTCTGCTGAAAATGTGATGGCTCAGTTAGAATTCCGTCGTCATATAGTACATAATTATTTGAGAGATGGTGTCACTTCAAGGACACAAAGAAAAAGAAAGTTTCTGGGAAAACTGGAATACAGTTGTTGTGTGTGTATCATATGAAGGCAAGGTGGACATGCAAAAAGTGTGAAAAAACAATATGTATTAAAAAATACCATACAAATACGTAACATCGCCATTTGAGGATGCCCTTGTATTTCAAAATGTTAAAAAAATATATTTTTATGAGCATATTTAATAAATTGAACCCAAACATCACAATTTTGTACCATTTACCTTTTTACACATGCCGGTTTCTTTTTAGGCGTTAATGAGTGAGATTTATAAAACTTATAATCAATAAAAAAATTTATAGATATTCACAGGATATTGCAATAAATGTGAAGGTCACTTCAGGTTATTATATGTCTGAAAACGAAATTTAATTTAATTATGAAAATGCCAAATCAAAAATAGGAAGCAATGATTAAATAAGTGCAAAAAAGTTCACACAAGCTAGGAACCGTTTCTTAATATATAGACATACATGCTACATGACCTTTCAGTTATATCTCAATATCTCACTTTTAACCCTTTATACTACATACCTCCATTTTTGCATTTGTCCACCTGGGAACTTCTACAACCATATTGAAAACCTTAGGCTTGCCATCCACTAACAATGGAATGTCATGAAGAGGTGAGATGGGACCATTTTGATCTTCTGTAATCAAAATAATACTGTTTTTTTTTATTCAAAACATTTATATAATGATCTAATCGCATACATACTACATGCAATTTTGTAACCCTTGATATTACTGATATTTTAAATGAATAATAATAATTAATGGTATTGTTACGATTTTAAATGTTATGGCATATAGAACTGTAAATATTTTATGACTAATTCTTTTTTATTGATTCTCGTAATTTGTAGGTCAAAATCTACCTGAGCTTCGATACCAGTTGTTTACAGAATAATCTAGACCCTAATTTTAGTGAGTCATCCACGACTCGAAGTTGAAAAAGAACTAGTCTCAGCGGTTAATTGCCTTCACCGAAAAAACCAGTATATTCCATGGAGTTCTTTGCAAAAGCAGGTCACCGAACTTTCCAGATAGCGGAAGTTTCTTTATATATAAAGACGAAATTTTATTGAAGAACTTAGTCATAAGAAGATCGGAAAACGCGGTTTACTTGTAACGAAACGTAATAAATAAATTTGTATTTAATAAGCTATTTAATAAATTAGTAATTGGTTATCGTGAGTTTTAATAAATTAGAATATAGACAATAAATTAGAATAAAGACAAATAAATCAGAACAATATAAATAAACCCAACAGTATTTTATATTTATGTATCTATTGAATCCTATTCTAATTGTTATCTATTTTTAAATCAGTCTTTTTATTGGTTTTTATCCAGTGCTGTTAGTATTCATTTTGTTCCAGCATGTTCCTTTCATCACTACATCTCATCTGAGATCTTCATCATCCTTCCTTATTGGATGTTAAGTTCTACAAATTTTCATTTAAGTATTTGTTCTATAAATCTTTCCTTTTCTTACTTCCCTATACAATTCATTAATATTTTGTTTAGTTTTATATAACTGATTTCCAGACTTCTAAAAAGAAAATGGGAAGTACATGAATGTTAATACTAATTATAGAATAGTGTTTACAAATAAATTGTTATTGATGAAGTTATTATTATCCTTGGTTTTTCCCTTTGTGGCCTTGACTAATTTATTTAGATTTTAACCATTATCAATGCCAATTTCATTGATTAATATTTTATTGGGTTTTACTGTAAATTTCTTAGCCTTAGGTATATGTGCAATGTGCATAGGATTACACAATTCACATTCACAATATTTATAGTTGTCTAGTTCCTACTAATAATGCAGCTCCTAAAGAATGAAAATTGCATGAAATCAATAAGTTCAAGGCTAAGGAGTAGTATTTACAATTTTCAATCTCAAATAACCTTGAATGACTTTCATGTACTTGATTATTACCTTTATTAGAAATAAAAGTACTCATAAATATTCCTTATAAAATTCAATAAAAATTTGCATTATCATACCTGCTAGATAAAATGCTAATTTTAAATAAAATACAATTGATTAAGCGATATGTAAAAGGGGGAAAACGTTATTAACTGCTATTATTATTAGAACTTCAAAGAATTAAACAGGAAAATAATTTATAATTGCAGTTCGTAATTCAACTACAAAAAACAGCGCGCATTAGCATTAAGAATAAACGTAAAATATAAAAATATTATTACTATTTATATTATTTAATTATTTTATTCCTATACAATAAAACTTTAGTAGTCTTTAGAAAAAAGCCGCATCGTACAAAGTGCAAGTACATTATAAGTGTGATAAAACTACATACCGATATAAACTCTATAATCGGCTGAGAACGGAGATCCTCTCTCTACTATGGAATAAGACATTTTTCTTAAGACTTGAAATCTAGGACTAAATATATTATGAGAATTGTCACACAAACTTTTTCCTATGCGACCTAACCGCACAAATGATGAAATTCTTTGAAGCATGACAGCATGACATCACACACACCACACCACATCTACTGAAATTCCCAAAAAGTGTAATCGATTAAGTAATTCGATTATAAATGAAAAGCTCGAGATGATGAAATTAGAGGTGTTGGAATGTGATAAGTGTGATGAGAGAGCATAAAGCATAAAGGCCGTATGACACTATGCATTTTCTTGTATCATTTATCATTTCTTATATAGTTTCTGATATAACAAAAAATGGATAGTGTCATACAAGCGTATAGTTTCTTATATCAGAAACGATACAAGAAATTGTGTCCGCTGCATTTTGCAATGTGCCAATTTTTGCGCAAAGCCGCAAAACGTAAAACTTTAGTCATATTGGCGGTCTTTTATTTTTGCACCACAGTATTTTAAAAAATAATAAGTAGCGTTTGTCCTCAGTCCCCAGTAGCTTTTGGTCCTCAGGTACTGCAGTTCTATTTTTATAGGTGTCAAAATTTCGACTAATCATGTGCCAAATCACATACAATTTCTGGTAAAAGAACTTGCATAGTGTCATACAGGGCAAAAATGTACGTTCAAGAAACAATACAAGAAAACATAAATAACTTCCTATATCAGAAACGATATAAGAAATGATACAAGAAAATGCATATGTGTCATACGGCCTTTAGGAAAGGTCAATTTATTTGTAGCATCTTCTTAATAGAGATAGTACCAGGTTGCACTAACATATCTTAAGACGTGCCTTAGGTAGGCCTCAGCTCAGACTGATCGACCGACCACGACCAACCGTCCGACGGCGATCAACCAAATTTTGTATTTTTATTTTTAAGAATATAAAGAATATTTTAGAATTGAGTTATTTTTTGTGTGGTATAACCAATACAAACGGACAAAATAATCCGCTCTTTCATAATATAATATTTATTCCTATGTATTGACGGTAAAAGAAAGAAATACCATGTAATATCATGGCTGTAGAATAACACATATTTGAAGATTTTATAAAAAAATCTTGAACAGAATTGAATATGGAGAATCGATTCATTTTTTGCGCCTAATACCCAAATATAATTCGATTGTAAACATCAAATGTCATTGCGACAGGTGACAGCCAATTCTTATCAGTTCTTAAATTTGATAATAAACTCTAAACTCTGACATCTGTGACACATTTGTTTGTTTTTGTTAAGTTATGTGGTTATTTTTAAAAGACAGCTTAATTGTATAGAAAAATACTGATCGTGCAAAAATTTAATATTGAACTGGCTGCAGTATTTTAAAATATATAAAGATATTAGTCTACAGGTATAATACAGCTGATTTGAATATTATCTTTTTGTTATTGATAAATAGTGATTGTTGATTAATTATCACAGTCCATACGCAGAAACTATTGAGTATTCAATTTGGTTTTATGGGAAACACCACGTCCAGGTAAATATATTTTTATTTTTATTCCTTATTTTATCTTTTCTTAATTTAAATAATTTATAAAAAATGACAAAAAAAAACATAAATTGGCAAAAACAACATATTTCTTACCAGTTACACTTTGCTATTAAAAAGTGCATATTTTTTACAATCTATTGATTACATATTCCCTGCTTTTATATTATATTGTTACATTTAATGAACACTTCAGTATGATGATTCACCATTTTTTGTAAATGAATTATTTATATGTAGGAAGCTATTTTTTATTTACTTTGTAAGTATGGCGCGTTAATTAATACAATAAAATATTTAAATGATTATATCAAAATCTTTGTCTGAAGTTCAGAATAGTAGTTCTGGGAAAGAGCTAAAATCATATATCTACTGTAATTCATTTCAGTTATTTATTATTAATATTCCATTATATTCATAAAATTTTTTGCTAAACAGGCTAAGCATATTTTCATTATTCATATATCTAGCATTATCAGGAAGTTCTCTGGCATTATCATGAAATCATGATATTATCAGTTGTAGTTGTTCTGGGAAGCACCTATTACCTATTACAATAATTATTACCTAGCAAGGGTACAATTGCATTGTGTATTTCCTAGATGTATGTCACTGTGTTTTATTACATTCTGTTTATCCTATTTCCAAAAAAACATACCAAATATTAATAAGTGAACATTTACACTTGGAAAGTGTACTTTCTTTTACCGAAAGTTCAATAATAAGGAAAACTTTTAAATTTTAAAAGTTTATTTTATGTCATGAGTTATTTTCATAATACTAGTAAGTACTTTATTCATTCTGTACAAATAATATTTGTGAAACTTTTGAATAATATGTTTTATGTGTCATGTTGGATACCTACTTCAAAATATAAATAATACCATAAATTTCTGAGAATTACACAGAGATAAGAAGACTGAGGATTATATGAAAATGACAAAAGATCTTTATATATATATATATATATATATATATATATATATATATATATATATATTATATATATATATTATAAGTCCATTTTTATACATTAATTTGAATATTTAGCCCAAACAATCAAAGCATAACATCATTGAAAAATTATGAAAATTATAGGTGTGATTATGTTGTTGCAAAGTGTTAAGAAAGTTAATCTAATGAACCCAGGCCAACTGTCCAGTAATTATTCTTGTAGAAAACTATTAAAAAAACATTTATATCTGGTTTATCAACAAGATAATACTGCATCAATTAAAACAATGAAACAAAAGTTCAAATGTTTATTTTTGACATTTTATAGATTAGTATTTAGAAATAGAAAGTTTTAATTTTTGATTAAAGTTAATAAAGTAGTATACTTCCATTATTCATGATTATTGTTTTTTCATATACATACTGAAGACATCTCATCTGGTATATCATGAAAACTTGGGTGCATCATAGGGTGCAACTAGATGAAAAATTTGTATGTTTTATATGTATGTAGTCACCATAAATTCTATAAAATGATGTGTGAAATTAAAATTACCTCAGAAACAAAATTTGTTTCAAATCTAACCCATCAGGCATTAGTACTGTTAAGATTATTTTCAGAGGGGTTCATCTGCATCTATGCATACTATTAACCAATATAAAATGAGTATATGAATGAGTAAATAACCAATAATGAGATTAGAGATTTGGGTGTATTATTGGATTGTGGATTGACATTTAGAAGCCATTTTCTTAAAATTAAGAAAACAGGATTTTGTAATCTTGGTTTTATTTATCGCAACAGTTATGATCTCTCACCTATTGTATTTAAATTATTGTATTGCTCTCTGGTATGCTCAGGTCTTGAATACTGCTCTGTTGTCTGGTCCCCGTTTCATCAAGTATACATTGATGGATTGGAGAGTGTTCAGAGGAAGTTTCTAAGATCGTTAGCTTTTAAAGCCCATATTAATATAAAAAATACTGAAAATTATTTCATAGATTATTCTATAATAATGTCTCATTTTAACATTGATACATTGAAGAACAGCAGGTGGAGAGCTGATATGTTATTTTTGTTTAAAATTCTGAACAATGTTATTAATTGTCCCTTGTTATTGGCCAATGTACAATTAAACACAATGCATAGAACTCGACATACTGCACTCTTTCATATTCCTTTTCATAGGACTGATTATGCTCGTCATTTTCCCCTGTCAAGAATGCTCAGCTCTTGCAATGACCTCCTATTGGATCCTTTCTGCATAAACATTAATGCTTTTAAAAGGCAACTTAAGAATCTGACTATTAATCTAGATATAGGATACTTACTATGTGATACTGATACTTTTTTAAAATTTTTGTGATATGATATATTGTTTTAATGTACAAATTTTAACTGTTTACTTGTTTTTTTGTTATTGTTTTGATGTTTATTGTACATGATCTTTACTTTTTACTATTTTTTGTATTTTATTGTAAATGGTTCTACCGTTGGAATGAATAAAAGAAAACACTGCCTGTGCCCATGCCTGGCATTAGGATGCACTTACCTCCATTGCAATGCCAAACAGATAGCACCTTTTATGTCTTGTATCAGATCATAACACTTGTATCAGATCAGTCAGAATTATAAAATTAAGAACTTGTTTAATAACTGTTTATTAGGTAAAGGCATAATTTTTGTTTTTATTGTAAAGGATGTTTTGTATATTTCTTGTATTGACCAACATTTAAAAGAAAAAATTTTTGTCAAATTTTTTTGGTTAAAAAACAAATTTTTTTCTTAAAAAAAAAACTTTCTTTAAAATAATATTGAAGCATGGAACCACACACAAATTTACCTTACATTCTATACACAGATATGTCTATTGATTAGCTATTCTGATAGTATTAAACTCAAAAAGAAGTTTTTATATATTAGCTAAAAAAATTAATAATGGTTAAACAGTTGTCTGAAACTTTTCCAAAAAGTGTGAGCTTTTATGTTGTTGAATGATGTACAACAGATGGGCTCAATCAGTTCAATTGTTTTTGCAAAATTCAAATTGTATATCAAATTTTTAAATGGTTATTCAGAGGTTTGGTAATGATCCATGGTGTATCTCATTTTCTTGACAAAAGATCCAAGTATCTTATAAGTACCTAGTTTATAAAAATTCGGAATTTTTTGAAATTGTCGTATCAATAACTGTTATTAAAAAACTTAATTAACTAAAATCAAAAATAAAATAAACATTAATTTGAGGGTCAGCGTGGGTGCAAATAAACAACAAAATAAAACTAATTACCCAAATAAGAATTGTTTGAATATAAAACATTTTTACATACAGTGTGAAAACATGAATTATAGTAGTATAAGAGATAAAATTTTTTGAAAATAGATAAAGAATTAAATTAAACAAATACAGCATGTTAAACTACTGGTTGATAATTCTCATTGTTTACAAATTACATGTAAATATTACTATCAAAATCTAATCTCCTTTACTAATTTTTTGTGAAACAATATTTTACTCACTTAAACATAAAATTAGCTCTAGAGATCATATAAATAAGAAAATTACAAGAAAAATAATTTAAATATAATTTATGAGCCCTATGTCCTGATTAAAAACCATATTTTGTTACTAAAAATATTTACCTGTTCTTAATAATATACTCAAAT